ACCGCGCAAGTTTATGTATAGGTCATTTCATATAACTGAATGATGAAAACAATGATAAATCCAGATGAAATTAAGCATTTGGAGGAATGTAATTTCGGTAGCCCAATGATTAAGGCAAGCCACCTTAAATAATCTAATTTAAATAGAACTATTATCTACCCCACTTCTGTTTAGTCTCTACGTGTAAGTACCTCTGTTTCTACCCTGACCTAAGTTGAAAACTTTCAGTCAATTATATTACGTCATCGAACTTACTGACTCAATCTTACTTTAGTTGCTGTCTGATTAACCTTGTTTCTTTATCAGATTAATCTTTTATTACCCAATCAAATGTCCAAACTTGACAAACCTCATGTACACACACACTTACAAATAATTATATATAAGTGCGATTGTACAGCTATGTGAATGAATTCGCCGAAAAGAGTCTCTTCCCTGAACGTCTTTTCTTTTCCATATGACTAAATGGGGAATTCCAAGTTACGATCTGAAATTCTCAGCTAAATTAAATTCTACGTTGTCAGTAGGGTAGAATTTTAAATTCATCGGTTTTACGTTTTCATTTATTATTTTAGATAAACTTTCATGAGTGTTTTAGAAACGTGTACTGAAAAGTGATGACGCCTTAGCTTTTACTTCTTCTGTAGAAAACTGTTAACGCAATAATGTACCCAGGATTATTTACATGCATATACGCATGTCTTTTCATAGGGGTACGCCCAAGTAGTTATATGGACTTCATAACAAAACTAATCACAGAAGAGATAAATAGGCAAAACATCGACCGTTTCTCAATCAATTTATACGCTTGCAAAATCACACCTCAAAACAAAAGTCAATGAAAGTGGGGATTTTTCTATAACGTTTGCATCAGAGTGTTTGAGAATATGTCTGGACGACAAAAATGTATGTAGATAAGAACTTTGATAAGTCAATAATTTAAAGTGTTTCGATCAGAGATATATCTTTTTTTAAACCTTCACGTTCCCCAGCTTGGAGCTCCAAGCTATTGGATTGAAGTTTCTGTAGCAGTGGTGATTATTTTTACAGGATAGGGTTGCTAGCCTTATGCCCAACCTCTCTTCTTAACCCATTTTATCCCTGGCTTAGAGGAGTTAAGGTGTGCGTCGGTGGCAGAGTGGTTAGGACGCTCACCGACCATGCACATGGTCCTAGGTTCGATCCCCGGCCGACGCACTCCTTTACGTCCTAAGCCAGAAAAATGATGGTGAATAGGAAAGGTTGGGTATGAGGCTAGCAACCTCATCCTGTAAAAGTAAACACTACTACAGAAACTTCAGGCCTCTGGCTTGAAGCCCTATGTTACACTGGGAACGTGAAGGAAAAAATTATTATCATTAGAGAGGTAAAGGAGTGCACAGAAATATCTTACTCAATAATAAAATTTGCTGTTGAGAATATACCATAAGAATTAACTTGAAATACTCCAGTTAATATACGACATGAATTCGTAAGGAGAAATTTTTGAAACGCTCCTGAATCACACACTTGCTCAGTATTATACATGGATCTCGATATACATTTCCAGATATCAATTCATTAGTATTAATTTTGAAAATTTTGGTTTTGTTGCAATGGAAATGTAGTGTGTGTTCGGGAATGTATAGCTAGATAATGGTCACAACGAAGTGGATAGCTCTTCACTGAACGACTCTCCTTTTATCAATAAATTACAGTTTGATTGTAACAGGTGCACAAAACATTGACAAATTGTCTCAGACTTTCATTCATGGGAATGATTATAGTCCACTGAGATAACCTATCTACATTCTTTATTCATTCACGTTTTCAGTGGAACATAAGGCTTCCAAACAGAGCCTTGAAGTTTTTGTAGCAGTGATGTTTAGTTTTACAAGATGGGGCAGCTAGCCTAAAGTCCAACTTTAACTCTTTACCAATGTTAATACTGACTTAACGACGTAAAAGAGTGACCTGGCAGTAAATCCAACCCCGGATCATATAGGTGGTCAGCGAGAATTCTACCTTTGTGCCACCGACACACGAGCTATATAAACAGCCGAAAGTACGTATGATGAACTTCTTTTTCGAAACAGTTAACTCTGAAATCATTAGGTTTCAATGAATGAAATGAACGTCTAATTTTGTTCATTATAAGGTTAGCTGTCATTGTCTTGATACATATAAAATAAGGTGCCTGAATAACTCTTCTTGGCATCATTGGTGTTGCTATTACCATAATTCCTGTCCGTTACTAACTGTTTGAAATTGAGATAATTTTGTGCATATCAGCGTTGTCCGAAACCTGCATAGTGAGCATCCATGGAAAGTGTTTCAGCCATTCTCTGAGACAGTAAAGGGTATCCTGTGCCAAAGGTATCGTTTTACCGGTGGTTGATTAGAGTAGCTTTCTTCAGTGAAGTATGTTCGAATAGTTTTAGTCTGCAGTTATTCCTTGTCTTATGAGTTAAGTTGTAATCACTACCAGTCTTGATGATTTTGGAGGAAGCATTTTTAGATTTTGTACAATTTTTTTGGAATATATGTAACTGACTTAACAATTTCCAAATTCATGTGACACAACAGTGAGAAGAGAGACCTCTCTTCGATGGTTTTTTGGCTTATAAAAGTGAACCAGCTGTGAAAATAGGATGAACTTGTATGAAGTGAAAAATGGAACACAACCAAAATGTCAAAGAGTGAGTCAGTGACCTATTAGTACAACATTCGCCAGAAAAATACCCTGAAATTGAGAAAGTTAAAGACTTATAAGGAAAATATCAGATAATCTTTCACCAAACCACTTCGGGTGGCGCTGACTCTACTATTATGACGTAGATTGTAGAGGTTGCTTTATGTGCCTATCATCATTTCTGATCAACATGAATAAAAATACAGCTACTATTCAAAGTAGGAGTACCATCAGACTTTGAACAAGTACGTAAGTGCGCACCTATTGCTTTCATCGTTTGCGATTCTAGCCCAGGTAGATAATTATGACAACCTAAATAATAAGAACAAATGAGTACAGCGTAATAAAAGACGACATGTTAAGCAAGACAAAGTTTATTGTGCCGTCAGGTCCTCAATCATCGTTCTAATCTAGCATACATCTAAATTTCAGGGCCACACAGAGTGTACCGTTCTATCTATGATACGTTTGTTAATAGTAATTTACAAAACAATAGTGAATTTCTAACTAACACAAAATATTCATGTAACAAATTAAAGTTGAGAACCACAAAAGGGATTTCATGATGCACAATTTTGATGCCTATGAGGATGCCATAGGTTTTTCAGCCTAATAAAATCATCAACATAGAAGCAAAGGTTTCAGAGAGGAGAATGTCAATAACTGTTTTATTATTATTCTGTACATTCACAAATCAATAAATATATATGATTTCAAAGGAACTATATCTTGTGAAGTAATTGAAAAGAGACCTGTTAATACTCATAGAAATACTCATAGTAAACCTTTGTTCAATAATATCTGATTATGAATGTGTGCCGGTTAGATAACTGTCCACCATGGCCAACAAGAGGATAGAAAGATGCAGCTTTATCCTCAAACATTGACATGTCTTCGTCATAAGGCTACACAGTTTCCCACTATAGCACCAAAGTACTTCGAATACGCCATCTTCACAAAGCTGAATCATTGGCTACTCGGGATGAAAAATTGGATATCTGCGCTCCTAAGCACTAAGTTAATTTCATTATGGTTAACTTTTTGTTTTGATAAAGTCTTATACTATTATACAGTATTGTTTACTGATGACCTTGATATGATTATGAGCAGTGATAAATTGCGCTCGAAACGTCATCAGTAAACATTACTGTATAACAATGTGAGATTTCATCAAAACAAAAATTTACCCATAGTGCACAAGTTTTATTCTTATATCAGTAGCACTATGTAAATTCACTCATCATACCAAGACCAGAATATAGTTCCCATGCTAATTTTGCCTTCAGTTGGTTGCGTAATTTTACTGTTATTACTATCCTTATTTCTTATCACTGTACTATTCTTTGTTACTAACAACGAATTTTCATTCAGATTTGATGAAAACAGTTTTTCGTCTTTCCAGTAGTTTTCATCCACTTGACACTTGTTAAATCATTCTAATTTTCACGCATTTCTTATGGTGTCAAATGGATTATCCCCTTCAAGATTATATCTTACATAGTGTAAAACGTTTTCTGAGACAAATATACCAGGATCTGACTGGTCTTACTAATTCTTCGTTAATTATAATCACGCTGGTACAGCACACAAAAATGACTCGTCAGAAAGAAAATTTTCTTTACTGTTACCCTCTTTTTTTCATTAACAGTCGTAACAACAAAAAGAATACACAACGAAACAAACGAAATAAAGAAAACGGAAACAGGGTAAATTGCTATACCTAAGCAGCAAGAATGGTGTGGTTCGAATATATGACTATTGAAGCTCTCCGTAAAATTGCTGAACGAAGAAACCTCCACCGCCTGGCAAGAATACAATAGTCTATCTTGAAAACATGTTTGATTTCGTTTGAGTAGCGTAAGTCAAAGAGGTGTTCCAAACGATAGCTTCTCAAAACTCTGTCTTAACACTTTCAACACGATATCGGAATGTGCTCACTTATCCTCGCAGAGTGCGTTTTCTAGCAAAAGTCACCATCCACACTGATATGCTCAGTTAAGAAAACCATCTCAATGCTAGAATTAAGGCAAGAAATGCAGCATTTGTTGGGAAAACGCTGTCTATTCATGGATTCACCAGTTTTTACAAGAAAGGTCGACAAGCATAAACAGTTTATGGAAATCTTTAGATATTGATAATCAATTATTTTTAACACAGAACATTCTCTTAGTACCTTTTGATTGGTCATTCTAAGCTGTTCATAAGAAATTGTTAGCACTATGTTTTATTTATGTATTAGAGCTGTCAGTGACATAGACATAATTGTTGAATGTATTAAAAGGCCGAATAGCATGAAACCTTGCAATGATTGGTAGCAGTATTTGCATAAATGTCTCCACATTCCGAGGAATGGTTATTCGAAATGACAAAAGTTTGGATACTGGCAACATTGTGCATCGTATTCAGTGGTGTAGTGACTGGAGGAGGTAAGCTTTTGTTTTGATTTTGTTCAGTAAACTGGTCTTAATGTGAATATTTAAAAAAGTGACTCCTCATCACTTGACTGGACTCGTTACCATAATCTATGCATCACTATAAACTGCAGCAGCGAAACATATTTCATTAAAATAGGAATAGTTTTGTGAAACGTTGGTGGGATACGAAATCAGATATGAAAGCAGTATTTAGACATGAATTCTTATGCGTTTGTTTTATGGGCTCGCAGACCGATGAAACTGGTTAGGAAACTTGATAGTAATTAAGAAGCCCTTTTAATGTGGATAGAGTCTTTCCTGAATTTCCGCTTCCCTTATCAATTTTAAAAGCAGCAAAAGAGTAATTTATACTGGAGGACTGCAGAATCAAGCGTTTTTACACGAGAAGATGTGTGTCAGTGAGGTGTTAGATATATTCATCTCCCTCAAATTATAAATAAATTTAATACGAATGAAAATTATAAAATATGTAGAATCCTAATGCGTTTCTTATATTTGCCTGTAAATGCAGTAGGTTACTAGTAAAATGTTCCTCGTAATTGGGACCAGAGTTTCTGGGAGACAAACTAGGGGAAAATCCAATCAATATGTTAAATACAATTTGAGATAACTGAGTGAACAGATGGCACTTCAGAGTTAATAACGCTAATTAAATCCACTTTATCCCACCAATGTTACGCATCAGCTTAGTGCCTTTTGTTCAATATTTCGTTTAGAATACACCTCAATATGTCGATTTGTCACCTAGATTATCACAAATTTTTGATTAACAAATTAAATTAGGGCTTCATTTTCACTGACGGAGACAGTTCAATCCGCAATTATGATTTTGTAAGAAAACCAATTTTTATATACTTCTAATCCAGTAATGCCAACCGCTAATATCTGGAATAGCGAAAACTGTTCACCGTGTTATTCTGTACAGTTGATCTCATGTTAGAATTTTCGAGGTATATACAGTTGTTGATCAACTTGAATATTATTCAAAGGCACCGTTTATTGTAAACAGACTAGGTTATCACTGCTTCATGTAAATTTGGTTCCCGTGTAGGTAGCGGTAAAGGAATTTGCGAACGTCTGAGTAAGTTGTATGGTTATTTGTGACGAATCGCTGCATGTGAAATTACATAAGCTCTCTGTGAGATATTTCATCGTAAACATAAATATGATCAATTGTCTTAAATGATACATTAGTGAAAAAAAGGTTTAGAATTCTGTGTTTAAATAGTCTTCAGTGAAAGCTTGATAAAAGGTCTGAAAATGATAAGCTTATCTACAAACCTTATCCTTTAACAAAAGAACGTGAAGGTACAGTAATACTTCCTGAGGAGTCTTCTGAGAACGGAAGTAGTCCACTAACTGAGAATCACATTATTGTCCTTAATTTTTTTCAACCAGAGTTCCATTCATGCTGCAAAAATGTGTATTTGAAGTAATCACCTATTGAAAGCATTGCTTAATTGATAATTGTCTTGAATATTCAGACGATCAGATGAGTAGTGTTTGTAAGTTACACTGTTTATTTTCAACGTAGATGTCGGTGTTTGCGTGGCGCGTAATTTTTAAATCTGAAAGGATTAAATTACATTTTTGTGATTTTCTAATTTGTTTATTACTTATGCTACTAACAGCCCGAATAATTGTGGTAATATCAAATCTAGCGTACAATGCAAAATATAACAATTCACTTCGTAATGTAGTACACAAGTCTGAATTATTCGTGGGCCGATTATAAGTTCAAACGGGTAGAAATCAAACAACATAAGGACGTCTAAAAACTTATGGAACTGCCACAGAGCTACACAATGCGAATACAATATATGACGTGTAGCATAGATCAAAATATTGCCAGGAGCTTTCAGTCATCTCAAAACATCCACCCATGAAAGCTTCTTTTACCACAGACGTATTATCGATGAACAATATGCCGTTGTAGGAGCAGTCTCTTAAGATATTTCGATGGAAACATTTAGCTGTCAGGCATCTTATCGTTCGTCATCCAGTTCTGTTCAGATTCTGTGAAGATACAGCGAAACTCCTCTTCTCTGACTGCATTGTCCATAACATTTAGCACATAAGTTTAAGTGATAAGTATATAAACGTGGTGAACACTTCGAGAGGAAAAAGAGACCAGAATGTTATGTACTGATTGTGTAATTTATTTGATAATATAATAGATACTCAGCATACGATATCAACCTCATTTTTATCATTCCATCAGTGTAAAATGATTATGATTCGTCTCAGAGAGAAGGAAATACATTATCCTGTACTCCGTGGTTTACATTTGCTGATCACATGTTAATTTATTACCTTGTTACTCATTTGAGTGACAAATTTGCTTCAAATATAAGTCAAGCTGACGGAACGCTCAACACATTTAGATAAATTATCTGAATTATTTAACATCCTAAATGATTTGGTCATCTGCCTTGTTTTTTAAGTAATAACCTCAGGCGGTAAGTTGTTCTTTATCACCAGTCCCTGTACGCAATTCAGAATAACGTGCAATATTTTCAAGGAATCAGTTTCTGTGACTGCACAAATATTTGCGGCATCAAATACTTCCCTTTTCCTCAATGTATCAATGATTGCCATCATAACCTGTCTATAGCATAATTTTACTTCTCTGGCTGACTGGTGTTAGCATACGATATATTTACTTTAATAAATCCTTGTGAAGTAGACAAAATTAATAATTTCTTGTTTGTTAACATAAGTACAAATTCAGTGCAAATCATATTTCAAAAAGAATACGCTTATTCATAGACTACAAGTCTCCCTTCACCATCACAAATACAGTATACATTTTACAGTTTACAATTTATTTAGGATAGTAGGCTATATGCCTGTGTTAATCCTTTCGATTTATTGTACACAGGAGGTCCAATCTCGCCTTGAATGAATCAACGGATGGCGCTGATACGACGTGTTCCGGTAGGGAGTTCCAATGGTTCACAATTCGATGCGAAAAACGGATTTCCAGACGCAGACGATTCGACCGTGGTTTTTGAACCTTGAGGTGATGTCCTCGCAATTGGTTGGTGCTAGAAGGAAGAAATAATTTAGATAAATTAGCTCCAAAATCATTTCTTAGGATACGGTATGCTAGTATTAGGTCACCCCTAAGTCGTCTGTATGACAGTGGAAATAAACCCAGTCGACTTAACCTCTCCTCATATGACAGGGTTGAGAAACCCTTTATTAGCTTAGTTCCTACTCTTTGCACCCTTTCTAATAAGTCTATTTCGTATTTGAAACACGGGCTCGCTGCCTGGATCCCATATTCCAAATGAGGTCTGATATAAGTCGGATATAATATACGAAATATATCAGCGTCAAAGTTCGCAAAAGCCTTGCGTATGGCCCATAACATTCGAAAACCCTTAGTGGCTGCAGTTCTACAGTTTGTTGCTGTTTTCAAGTCATGCTGCACAACCACTCCCAAGTCCTTGTACTCAGTGACCACTGGGAGAGTAATGCCATTCATTGAGTAATTGTGCACGTGACTATGGGATACATGCATAACTACACTCTTGCTTAAGTTAATCTCCAAGGCCCAGTGCTTACACCAATCACTTAACAAGTTTAAATCTTCCTGCAAAGCAAGTTGATCACTGTCATCGTGCAAAGCCCTCCATATCTTGATGTCATCAGCAAACAGTAAGCAGGATGACTTAACTACCGATGGAATCTCATTAACATAAATCAGGAAAAGAAGTGGGCCTAGAATTGTACCCTGAGGAACGCCACTCTTAACCGATTCCCATGTTGATAAAACCCCGTTAACTCGTACTCTTTGTCTTCTGTCCTTTAGAAAGTCTTGAATCCAGTCGGTAACCACTTTATTGATTCCCAGACTACCTAACTTTACTAGAAGACCTGAATGAGAAACCCTGTCAAACGCCTTGCTAAGGTCTATGAATATGGCATCCACCGGTATATTAGCATCAGCTGAGCTTGCCCAACTTTCTCTGGCCAAAAGAAGGTTGGTCAAGCAAGAATGACCTGCTCTAAAACCGTGCTGTTCCACAGCGAAAAGTTTGTTCCCTTCAATGAACTGAATGATAGCATCACGAATTATTCTTTCTAGTAGTTTAACAACAATACTGGTCAAACTAACAGGACGATAGTTCTGAACTAAGTTTCTAGATCCGGTTTTGAAGACCGGACTAATGATGGCATCTTTCCAGTCTCTTGGACATTTAGACTGGTCCAGAGACATATTGAAGATTACCGACAATGGCTCGGCTATGCTTTCAGCCAATGCTGTTAATATACGTGGGTGGAGTTCATCAGGGCCACTGGACTTACCAGGATTGAGCCTTAGAAGCCACTTTAGGACAGTATCCTTTCCAATGTATAAGGGTGCCATTTTCAAGTTACCTTCTGGAAAATTTACAAAGCTGGTATCAATATTATCAGAGAATACTTGACTAAAGTGCTTGGACAAAGCCTCAGCCTTAGTCAAGTTATCCTCAGCCATGTTTGTCTGGTCATCTTCAAGCATAAGAGGTGGGATAGCATCACTCTTACGTGTTCTTCTCTTGATATATGAGAAGAGTCTTTTTGGGCAGCCTGGTGAACTTTTAACTAACTGGGTTTCGTAAGCTATCCTTGACTGGTGGATCAAAGTTTTACACTGGTTTCTGGTTTCACAGTATTTCAGCCGGAACTGCTGTAGCCCAGTAGAAACAAAGAGATTCCAGAACCTTTTTCTCCGTCTCAGGAGTGTTATAGCTTGTCTATTTATCCATGGTGGCCGATTTGTTGGCCTTTTAGGAACCCTCCAGGGGATGAGATCAGTGGTAACCCTCTCAAGTGTATTCTTAAATCTATCCCATTCATCTTCAATGGATGAGACAATGTTGACTGACCAGTCGGCAGTTGAAGCACGCTCCTTTATAGCCACTATGTCAGCATGCCAAACACTAGGCCGGGATTTGGGTTGAAAACTGACTAAATTGCCAGCCCTTAAGTTAAAATCTAACACCCCATGATCACTGTTTGCTAGAGGTGGATGAATAACTAGACCATCCACGTCGTCGTTGTCATGAGTAAGCACTAAGTCCAGCAAGGAAGATCCTTGGGTAGAACCGAATCTTGTACTACCTAAGACATGTTGTGTCAGGGCATTTTCCATGGTTGTCAAGAGTAACCGGCTGTCAAACTTATCAGCGGATCCTGGAGATGTGACAGCTACCCAGTCTATATGAGGTGCATTAAAATCACCTAGAATAAGACAGCTACTGTGTTTACTCCATTGTTTGAGGTGATCTAAAATGAAGTCATCACACTGACAATAGGGACTTCTATACAGAACTCCAATGAGTAGAGTGCCGGTTGCAAAGCTTACTTCACAGCTAATTACCTCACCTGTCCCACTGTCATGAGCTTCAGATTTCACGGAACGAACATGTAGGGAGTTGTTGATGTACAGAGCAACCCCGCCACCTCTACGACCCTTAACTCTGTCGCTGCGCAAGCAACTAAATCCGCATAGCTCAGGTGTGTCATCTAATCCCGAAACCAGCCATGTTTCAGTAATGGCCACAATACCTGGGCTAAGGTCTTCTACTAATACACCTAGCTCGTGAAATTTGTTCCCGATACTACGTATATTAGTGTACACTACCTTCAGGCTTCCTATGCGGTCTGGCTTATCCACACAGGTCTTGGAAGCATACGTTTCTCACCATTTTTACGTCTTGTTTCTAGCTGGGACAAAACTTCTTTTCGTTTAAGTCTGTCTTCAAGAGATAAATCAGGTCTGGCTGAAATTCCTGACCCGGCAAGGTTGTGTACATTAGCCAGTGGATGATTCCGTTCGTCAGGAGAACCTAAGACTACTTTAAGCAACCTACGCTGACTAGAACATTCATCATCTCTTTTGCCTATTCTAATCAGCTTTTTAATCGATACTCCAGGGAAATTCGCTGGGAGCATCTTCCTTATAATACTACTCACTAATTTAAGGTCGTGATCGTGCCTTTTCACGGGATCAGATTCTTTGGACTCTTCCAAATTTCCAACAATTATGTTAGAGTCTAAGGAGAGCTTGTCGTATTTAGCAGTGGCTACGTCCTTTCTCACCACTATTGATGCAGCCTGGCTACAGATGACAGACGTTTGCCTACCATCAATATTACTGTATTTCTTCCGACTGCTTATTTTTGTTACCCATTTATCATCTGCCTGCAGTTGCTTCTCAGGGCTGCTGCAGTTTTTGATGGTACAATCAAGATCAGTGTCTGCACCACCTTCATGGTGAACTTCGCTTACGGTGTTCTCCGGTTCTGAGATGCTGTTTACAGCTTCCGTTTTGTTACCTTTTCGCTTACTAATACGCTTCGAACGCCTAGTAGGTTTTACTTCCGGGGTAACTGGGATAGTAACCGCCGGTGTGATAACATTCATAATGGCACTTACTGCGTCATCTTCAGACAGGCAGTCCGCGTCACTCTTACTGGCCACGCTATCATCAGGAAGTTCCATGACTTTAGAGAGCAGTTCGTGAGCCTCCCTTATTAAGGTCATCTTTGGGGAACAACACATTCTGCACATCCAGTGCAAGAAGGTTACATATTTATATCGTAGACCTAAACAGCGTTTATTTGTTTCAAAATCTCGAACAAAACAGCAACGTGCCATTTGCCTAGTCTTTCAGATTTTGAAACACCTTCAATAAATAATTCATTCACACGATTTCATAACTACTAAATTCAACATTTTACAGCATGCCGTGGTAAGTTGCTGGGGTAGAAATAATTCTTGTTCTTATTATTATTTCGGCACTTGAATACTGCAGTAGATGGAATCAGAACTCTCCTTCTTCATCTGATACATTTCGTGTAAAAAGAGACATTCATTTTAAGGTGCCACTTTGACGGTGGTGTGAAGGAAACAAGGATAATTAAAGATTTGAATTTCTGTTTTTCTCCTAATTTCACTGAAAAATTAGATGAGCGTCTGTTTCGAAGGGAACGAAGTATGTTAGTCGGGTCAGTTAGCGAACTTCTGTAGAATCGCTGGTTGAAAATCAAATAACTACCTGTCTGATATTCACTTTTCACGCATTCGGCGGATGCCGGTGATTTATATTGGTTGGTTTCCATGGCGTAATGGCTTTTCGTGTAGGATATTAGTTTATGGCGTGGACACCTATAAAATCTCAGTTTAGTTCGTTTAAAGTAACGATTTGTGCATCCTTCAGGTAAGAGTGAATTTGCCCGCAGATATCACGACTTTTGAAGAAAAATTGCCTTTGAGTTTTTGAACAATGAACCAATGAATAAACCAACTTATGTTTCCCACAAACTGTTTGAGCATCTATTACTTGGTCATTCATGGCGAAGGAAAACCAATAATTTTTGACAAAATTACTTTGGCTTATTCAACATCATTTTTGAGAATTGATCCATCTGGACGAAATTTTCATTGTTGACACAACAATCAGATAATGCTAGTAAGTATTGTAGTTAATTTTGTGAACATTCTTTCCGGTCCTGTACAATACCATTTTTGCAGGTTGTGAGACTTAATTAGCATCCCTGGGATGATTAATTTTGGTGACACTGTGGTTATCAAAGTTATCTTGTGTGCAATATGATGGTTGAGAACAGGCTGAACGGAAAAGGTTGCTTTAAGTAAACGCGGACTTTCTTCGTCACACATTGAATTTCGTTAAGAAAGCAGTGGTGGCAAGCACTGTTCAGTAGTGACACAGATTCTATGACGTTTCATTGTGTCTTGATGCTATTGAAAGGTAACTTCTTTTGTGTTCGGTTCACAAAATGTCCATATTACTAAGTGTTTTGCATGCAGAACAACAAATTCCTCGGGTATTGAGGCATAACTTAGGAGATCGACGTGAGTTTCTTGAGATAAAGCAAGGGAACTACTGTGTAACTGAAGATGGAATGATAAGTGATAAATCAGAGTTCAGAGGTGATAAGCACATGCATTTTACAGCTAATAAAGTGCCTAATATTTTACGATCAGCTTCACTTTGAAGCGAAGGATTTCTGAAATAAGAGAAACATTGGCACTTACAAACACAGACTTTGAATTTGACTACGGTTGGACCGGTCATAAGCGAAAAAGTGGTTGTAACTGTTTGCAAGCATGCAAGTTCCCCATTCACTAGTTGCTAAATAAGCTTAATGTCAGAAATGTTACAGTTCGGTTGAACAAAGCTTATACAAAAGCTGTATTGCAAGTGTGAATGAATAAAGCTCACAGATTTTTATTCTATCACTTTTGCACCACCAAGTCTTTCACAACACACACTCGAATTGTTTGTTTCAGCTAAGACGCTCGTAGTCAGTAAGTTTGATTGAAACATTAATGAATTCACCATAAGGCAAACAACTGATTCGTACATTGTCTCAATCACATGAAATCTGTCCTTGAAGAGAGTAGATTATCCTGTGAATTTTGGTGTGAAACGAAGCTGGATGTTCACCGTCCAGTTAATCATTCTGTACACACAAGTAATCCTAATCATTATGTAGATAAAACGAATACCAAACATTTTCTGACTAATTTCAGGGATACCACAAACACATAAATTAAGATGGAAATTTGCCAATATTTGAAATTCAAAATTTTGGACGCATAAACTTCTAATTTTTTGCAAAACCTGAAAATATATAGTGACAACGCCGCCAGTGGTTGTTTGAGATTATTTCAGGAAGATTATTATTTGTGGGCTTCTTGTCCGTAAACTCATAAAAGATGTGAATTTATTTTAATAAGTGACTGCATTTCAGGCCAAGTTGTAAACTACTTGAGAATGAAGTAAAATTAGTATTGTTCTTTGTTAGGGAAATATTTGTATTTATCAGTATCTGTGTGTAATATTACGAATAGACGAGTTAGGTCTGATCTGTATATTTTGGTTATTTCACAAGTTGCTATGCACTATCCTTTCATGCTCACAAATATCCTCCATGATAATTCACTGTCAACAACAATAATCAGAATTAGAAGGTGAGTTTATTTGTATAAGTTATCATTATATTGCCTTCAAACTATGTACAAAGACATTGCAATCTATGAGATAAAATCAAGCAGAGCAGGTTACTCAACTAAATAATTGTTCTCAGTTCTCACAGCTGGTATCACAAAACATAAATCAAATCCGTTGAATGGCGCTTTGAACTTTCTGCAGCAGTTTGACGGGTTTTGTGAGATAATATCGCAGGCCCTACGTCCAACGCACTGCTTTTCCGTCTCATTGAGAGCGGCTGGAAAAGTAGTGAGCTGCTTAATTTGGCAAAATTAGTCTGTAAGACAGTTCGTACTCAACGAATGACATTCTCAGATGTCAGAAATTTAGTGGTTTATTCTGAAGTGTGCATTTTCAATATGCTTTCAGCAGTGGATTGACTCATCGTAAACTTTGTTTTCAATTGAAATTTGTTGAAGTTAACTGAAAAAAATTATGTAAATTCAGGTAATAATTTAGTTCATGTCTTATTTATTTCATCCCATAGAAAAAGCTAAACATGATTACGGTAAGGCGCAGTTTATTATGAAACTAACTATAACAAAACTTATTATGCACAATATCATATTTATTTTCACAATATCAAAATCAGTCGCCTACATAAGTGATAACACCTAACACAAGATGAAAGTTCAGGTTATTAACTTCACAATCTTACTGTTAAATATTCCCCATAGACAAAAGTACTGGTAATGTTCAGCTTCCAATGAAACTAATAACTACAAATCATATTAGCAACAAAAAATAGTCGACACCAAATTCAAACGACCTAGATATAACCATCATGAGTGTTCTACGTAAAAAGTGGCATTTATTCTACAAAAATGTTATAAAAATGAATTATACAGGGTAAATACCTCCGATATGCTGCAAATGGCGCTCTTAGTTTCTCAAAGGAGTGACCATTGGAATATCAAATCAAAAATGCATCCAAGTGGATGTATGTCATATTATTTAGGGAACCATTTACAATTCCTACTCCGTTTTTAAGATGACCCCATAATCCTTCAATACAATTCGTATGGATTTCGCTTATAGGATCCATTATTTTAGAAGAATGATCCATTTTATAATGAGGAAAGAAAGTATCCAAAATTTACCGTAATGTTCTACTCACCAAGTCTTACAGACTTCCTGATATCACAGTGATTCCATCAGAATGTATAGTCTTCAATAACCAAACAGTACTTGTACAGAATCATATATGTATATATATATATGGTTTAGTCTTCCATATCAACTAATTTTCCACAGAGAAGTCAAAAACAATATCTTGGTGAAACTTGCAAAGAAAGTTATAAACAACTGAGCAATCTAAATGGTTTGATCGAAGTCATTTGACGTTGGTGTCTATTATTAATTTTGCTAAACTTATTGTTATCCGTTGAAGTGAATTACTTTTATAGTATCAAAATGAGGTGCCTGTAAAATTCACAGTATCTCACAAAGCTAAACCTTCTGCCTAAAGCCTTTGTGGATGATTTATTCAAATGTTTCCTATCGACAAAGGTCAACAAGGTAATGTCAAGTTTGGCAATGAAATAGATAATAAGAAAACGTACTATTTTATGTGAATGACAGTTCTTTACCGCATTTATGTTCATTTAATTCAGTGGATTTTGGCAATATGACTCATGAAAGTCGCATCAGTTGATGAAGCTCTGGCTGTTACAAGGCAGTTGACGCTTTATTTAGCAAGGTTGATTGTTGTATGTTGCGTTTCAGTAGGTTGTAACAAATGAAGCTTCAGTCAGGAAAATAAAATTATGTTAAACGATAATCATAAGATTGTAACTGTGTTGTGAAGTGCCCAGAAGTGATTCCTCTTGAATTGAAGTCATATCAACGTATAACTGAAAATCGGTCCTACGAAATTTATTAATTTCTAAGATTATGATTTATTCATTTTGTTAGCAGGAAAACCAGAAAACCAGTATCCGTTATGTAAGTGAAGCGAGTGTATGGTTTTAAGAAAGGAATGTACCATTTACAATCACTTTAGTTGCATTTTAATGGTCCAGTCTAAACCAAGATAATTACTTGTGATTTCATGTCGATAATTCCTTCAAAATTTCAGTTGATCAATAAAAATTTGTCGAGCATTCAAGAAATGCAAACATTCTCCGCTACAACGTAGGAATTAATAATAATAATTTACTCCTTGTAAACCAAGCACTACAGCGTTTACTTTCATGTTACTTTTTGTGCAACATTCGAATGTAGCCTTGTGGTTCATTATTTCTATTACAGACGTCTCTACTTCTACGTATTTCCCTTAAAACGCATCTTCTTAAGGTGACGATATTACACCTTGTAAGTTAGTGCAATAATTATCATTTTGTTATGTCTATCGATTATAGTATAACTGCTGATCTCTCCGTTCGCTGCTGATATTGATCACTGCTTACTTCTGACGACATGATCTTACGTAAGCAAAAGCCGCTGACAAACCATTTTGCACCTGTGAGAATAATGCCACTCTGTTGTGGTCCAGTATATCATAAACAAATATTACTTCACTCGGCGTGTAGAGCAAATAAAAAAACTAATTTGGATAACTGCCTTCAAGACATTCAGGTTTCACTTGATGCTTTAAATTTTTCACACTAATCATTCCCGATAGGTTAACAGATATAGGTAAAAACAGATTTAGCTGGTTGAATATGTTTGCACTTTAAAACTTTCTAGCTGCAAATACTAAAATTCTGTGCCTTGAATTCACGCTTTAAACAGTTCACGCTATTTGATGCTGATTTAAGCTCGTTTCAGCTGGTTTCCACGTCTTGCAGATAGCTTGAGCAGCGATTTACCGTGGAACTGATTTTCGCAAACTCATCAGGTCTTCAATTGCTGTTCACATTTATACGCATAACCCTACAATAATACATTGTTTTGTATCTTGAACACGAGTGCAGGCGTGGAAAATTGGTCTAAGGCTTCTTCACAGATTGCTTATAACTGTGAATTTTATTAGAACCGCATTGATGCGTTTGACAAAGCTGGGAACTCGAATATTATAATTCAACTACAACTATACGCCAAAAAGCACATAGGTTGCTTACAAGGAAGTAATCGAATTCAGACACATGTGTGGAGAATGAATATATCGTGAACTGCGTCAGTGACAAAGTGGTTAGGACTCTCGCCGATCATGCATAGGGTCCGAGGTTTGCCGACGTACACCTGATATCTATGGTCGGCCTGCGAAATTTCGGCTATAGATATTTATGCTGAAAATTCCATACTTGTACCAAAAATACGGTGTGGATTCAAGCTGTTATCAAAATCAATAATAAATAAAATAAAAATAAAACAAGATTCCATGCAATGTTTTATTGAGTTAACCTGCCTTAGCTGAGACGTGTTTGCACTGTATTCTGAATCCTTTGAAATCGATATTCAACATGCCCAAGAATGCGTACTGCTGGAGAGTAGAAGACAGGAATCAACAACTGTTCAACTGCTCAAAAGCTTTCAAATCGTTCTTTCATGAATTCAACTTCATGTCAAAATCGAATATTCAGTCAGTTGGATCTCTCCAAACCAAAAACGAAGAAGCATTCTGCTCAGGCACTTGCACAATTTCTGTGATTTAACTAACAAGACAGTGCAAACATAAGTAATGCAAGCACATTAGAGACATGTGAATATAAACACTACATAGTTGAACGTCATAGCATATGCATGCCTTGTACGAGGTTTCATAAGTAAAATCAGTAGCGCCTCGAGCAATCTTACTAAATGAACTTTATGAGGTTTTAATATTTTCTGATGTTCTTTCTAGCCAGTAAATTTTTTTATTGTTTGAATAAATAAAAGAGTATAAATTGCAAATAACTTATTCGAATTCTGATCCCATAAATTATGGATTATTTTATATTTGAGTATTGAACGCGAGCAATATCAAATACGATCGTAAGTGTATATTACCCGCCAAATGTTTGTAAAATACATTACACAGTTTAACAGCACAGTTATCTTTGTATTTTCACTAGCATTAACCTTCAAAGCAGTTGGTTGTCAATTGTTTCAACATACCAATTGAAGGTCATTTGGGTCAACATCATTTAAAGCCTGTATATATATACATATGCAAATGCTGTCAGGAAAGGTTCTCAATTCAACGGTATTTGTTTGTTTTGATAAAGTCTCACAGTGATATACAGTAATGTTTACTGATGAAGTTTCGAGCACAATTTATTGCTCATAATCATATCAAAGTAATCACACGACTTCCTAAATTCATTTAAATGCTCGAAACGTCATCAGTAAACATACCTGTATATCACTGTGAGACTTTATCAAAACAAAATTTACCCATAATTGAATTACACTCTACCACAGTGCACAAGTTTTATTCTTATATCAATGGTATTTGTTCGTCCTATCTTCTTTGCGTCATGTTTCATTTGTATTGTATTCTCACAGTTACCACTGTGAAATATGACTAGAAGAGCAGGTTCACAAATCAACTACTAAGGAAGTTCGTCAGCTCATGAGACTCGTAAACTAAACTGTCGTGCCGACAGTCATACTGAAGTGTATCTTTATCTCTCTGATAATCAATTATTTAGAGGTGGCATGAAGGTTTCAGTGTGGGATGCAGGCATTTTGATGAAACGTGTTACTGAAATTTATGTGTATGCTTTCATTGGCTGGTGAAATTGAGTTGAGAATCAACTGATGCCAAGTCCCATTCGAATAACCAGCTTTAATTTTCATTGTGTATTCATGCAAATTTTTGGCATCCTTCGTGTCTACTAGTTAAAGAAGGTATGCTGACACTTTTGTATTCGTATTAAATGGATTAATTATTATAAAATAAGAACGAGGAATAATTGCCTAAGAGCTATATTGATTTCTAATCTCAGAATTGAGATTTCTAACTGTTGGTATTCTTTCCTAATACAAAAATGGTCTATGTTTGTCACTTGTATGAGCCTATCGTTCGATAGCTGTGCTACAGTTTGATTGTCTCTCGCCTGATCATTAATTTATCAAAATATCATCACGTATGAGCATAAAAGTATTCCCAAGATTATGTTGCATGTATGTAGAAAAGGTTTTTTCACTTAGATCCATGTAGGTAGAGAATAATCTTTGAATCTTTCAACACCAAATCAACACTTAATATGTCTAAACTAAGTGACATATCTAATTGGTGGGTGGTGACTAGCAGTGGAATCCAAGATAACGCGCATTTCGTCCAATTTGGGACTTATCAGTTGGTTGCACCTGCATTTCTCACTAAGTGATGATGTGCCCACCGAGGCTCGAACTCAGTAACCGTAGTATCAAACGCCAAAACATTATCCACTAGACCAATAAGGCCACAGAAGCCACCTCTTGTGCAACGGGTAATGATAATTTAAATGAATTCGAAATTTTCCTGTCAGTTGATGGACCGAAGTGCTCGGTCTCAGGATGACATATCGGCCTATTGTGGGCTGTCGTTGCCCAAGTGGTCTAGTGGATAACGCCTTGGCGTTTGATGCTGTGGATACTGGATTCGAGCCTGGGTGGGAACATCATCACTCACTGAGAAATGCAGGCACATCCAGCTGACAAGTCCCAAATAGGACGAAATGCGCATCCTGGATTCCACTGCTTGTTACCATCTATCAATTAAATACTATCTAAATGCCCAGAAGTCGTCGCACCATCTGCACAAGAAGCCGACATGTCAATCTGAGAGCGACCACTTCGATCCAAATAATCGACGGGATATCTAAAATTCAATTCATTACACATCGTCCATCATAAATATCAGGAGAGTTACATTCAAGTAATTCAGGTGGTAACTCCGTAGAAAGTTCTGTAAACGAAATCACCCGATTGTGTGTTCGAAATTTTACTCAATAATTGTGACTGAATCATACTGTACTATTTCAAATATGTGTTTATGATTTGAAGACACACAAATCCTTCTGCAGGTAATCACAACCTCACTATTTGGAAGTCGATGAATATCCCTTAGGAACAATCAGGAATCCTAATAAGCATCCATAATAAAATTGCGGACTTTTTTGACTTTCTTATGATTATAAACCTTATTTGTTTTTTCTGTCAGCTGCAAAGTCAACACCCTCAGCTGGTTAGTTATCATCTATACTCATCAGTGTCGTGACAGTGGAACGGATACTGAATATAACATGTCATGAAATTCGAATCATGTTTCGATGTCTTAAACATTCATACTTCGTAAATAAATGTTTGTCTGTCTCAACATGGAAGCCAAAAACTCGTATTTTCAACCTGCTTTAAATGATTTATTTCTTTGGTATCGGGCAATTCATAAAAGGTAACTAGATGAACAGAAGTATCTGGGGAAAATTAGAGATTTCAGCAGAATATGTGACAACGTTGTATGGATATAAAATCAAAATTAGGACCGATTTTACTTAATTCTCTACATAGCGAATGGTTATGTATATGCTGAAATTGAAAAAAATATTAGGTAAATAAGGCATGCAGTTATAATCCTCATAGCCGCTGGTTTGACATTAAAATGAAGGGGATACTTCTTTTCAGATACCTGCTTACATGTTATAGTTAATGCTTGATTTATACACCATGATCGTTATCCGATAAAACTAATTAATTATTGAATAATGTAGTGACCTATGGGCAAATATAGAGAAATGGAAAAACGATGTGATGTAGGTGACGTTTCATAATTAAATAGAGGCTGGATTCTCTTGCATTTGTGACCGATGAATATCTTGTAGATACAACCATTCAATATAAATTATGGCTATGAAATGAGGATGACAGCAGATAACAAAATTTTGATGTGGTTTTGTTCTCTGAGCTGGATAGTTAGTTTGCGAAGCTTTCATCACCTTACTGGGTGACATCTTCAGCGCATACTTCAAATTGAAGTATGCGCTGAAGATGTCACCCAGTAAGGTGATGAAAGCTTCGCAAACTAACTATCCAGCTCAGAGAACAAAACCACATCAAAATTATCCACCTGAGCTACAAATCTTCTCTATCATATCTAGATAACAAAATTACTTGGTTATCTTTCCGACATGCAAATTTGGAATTGATGAAACCGTCTCTGTAATCGATTATTTATTCCTCTAAAGGTAGAGGCATTCATGAAATCAGTTAAGCCAAAAATGTAAGTAAGGGGAGTAGATGGGAGAGCATTATGTTATCACAGTAATATACCTGTGTAGATACCTTTAGGGAGGATGAAGCTAGACACCTGAGTAAAACTATTCTGTATGTAATCAGGGATGACTCATTCGAAGTTACCCATCGCAAAACGAGAAGATGTCTTTTAACTTCATTTCACGCTAATCTTATACTAATGTATCCAAAA